AGAACATGCATTCGGAACTTATTCGACGATATAGGATCTTTTTTTTTTCCAATAAATAAAATATAATTCTTTGTTTAGTCGATATACATAAATCTATGATTCATTCCAACTGGACATACATAAACGCACGTTTATATTTCTTTTTTTTTTTTGTTTTATTCTACTTATACACTCTTTCGTTCGAGTCTAGGGTGGACTACCATATAACATAAACGATTTTTTTGTAATCCATACAATATATATAATAAACAATTGGTAACTGATAATGATGATGATGTCAGCTCCATCTTCGTCATTTCATGATGTAAGTGAATAGAATTATTTTTGTTTTTTTCTATTTTATTTTTGAATAATAATAATTTATTGTTTTCTACTATTTATTTTAGTATTTGCCAATGGATTCTTGCTTACCGAAAATGGAAGCAATGACACCAATACAAACAATTGAAGATCAATTTGAACAAACATTTGATGATGATAATAATAATACTAATAATCATAGAAATAATAAAAATTCTACTGTTGTTAAACGGCCAATGAATGCATTTTTATTATGGGCACGTGGTGAAAGAAAACGTGTATCTAGTGATGGTTATGGTGTTAGTCAAACATCATTAAGTAAACTTCTTGGTGAAACATGGCGGTAGGAAAACAACAAGATTTTACTATGATCAATGATTTTGTAATTATGTAAAATTAATTTTAGACATATGTCAGTTGAAGAGAAACAACCATTTTTAGATATGGCCGAAACATTAAAACGTCAACATCATATTGATCATCCAGATTATAAATTTAAACCAAAACAACGTTCAATAACAAATAAAAAGAGTCATTCATTTACACGTTTGTTTGTTTATTTTTTTATAAATATTAAATTTTATTAATTTTTTTTTTTTGTAGCTCAAAGACAATTATCAACTATAATACCATCATCTAATTCTTATTCTTTTCAACCATCATTATCAACTAGTTCAAATGCAACTCCACATCCTGTACAATCAAATGTTTTAACAATGTGTCAAACAATTATTTCAACATCATCATCATCATCGGAAAATAATAATGATTGGTTTAATCAATTGACTGCACAACCTCAAACAGTTATTGTTGCACCTTTTTCTCGAACTCAAACATCTCCTATATCATCACGTCGAGCTGTACGTATACAAATAATTAATAAACATGATGATATTGCTTTACCTCCACCAACATTATTACCTATGACACCTCCACCACTAATATCATCATCATCATCATCATTTGTTATTAATGGATCAACATCAACGTTAGTCGATTATCTTGGTGATCATTGTAATATATTTAATATTCCTACTAGTAATAATCAACAAGTATTAGCATCGGATATGAATGATTCAAATGGTAAATAATTATTTTATTTAATTTAAATTTATTTTTTTGTTTTTATGTATGTGTTTTATAGAATATGAAACATTACATGATTCATCAGTCAATCATTTAGTTGATCTTGATCAACATTATGATAGTAGCGGTTGGATTGATACTCCATTATCAAGTTTTGGTACTAATTCAACAGATATGGTTCCATCATCGCCATATACATCTTATGATTTTTTATGCCTCTAAGCTTTATTTTCTTTTTTTGCTTTATCCTACGACGGTAAAATTCTACATAGAGAGATATAAGTTAAAGATAGTATAGTATTTTTCTTTACTTCATTTTTTTTTTCTTCTTCTTGTCTCTTATCCTTGTGTTAATACGAAAGTAAGCTTATATGCGTGCCATTTAACTTTTCTCTTGTTTCTTTTTGTCTTTTTTTTTTCGGCTTTTGCTTGTGTTCTTATATTTGGTTTTCTTTTTTTTTTTTTTTCTTTCTCTATATATTTCTTTGTGTGTGTGTTTGGTTCATGTATATGAGTGCATGTTGTATAACAAAAGATTTGAACGACAAAAAGAAAATGAATGGAAATAAAAACATTCGCATGTACTCTTGAAAGATTTTATCATGTATTATTATATTATTAAGAATTTTTTTTAAACAGAAAAATTTTTGATGTCAAAAAAAAAACAAATGATAAAGTTTAGGTACAATGATCATAGAGATAGGATAGTGAAAGTAACAAATATAGCAGAACTTCGAAGGAAAAAGAGCGTTTGAATAATTTTGATAAATATTTGTACGATTTAGTATTTTTATCTATAAGATAGAGTCAATTATATCTAATCTTTAAGTGTTTATGATGCTGAAAATTCAACATTTTAGTATATATTTTGTTTTCAATGTTTTTTAGCATCATTTGATAGAGCACATTGAGTTACCTATGAAAAATTACTTTTCAGATTTTTTGGAAACAAGTTCTTTTTTTTTCTGGAAATATTGGGAAAAAGACTAAATTGTAAATTATGATGATTAGAGTCATTCGTTATCACATATATGTGATTAATTTCTTTTTCACTTTATAAAAATTTCTAAAGGCTATTTCCTAATTCTGTATAGAAAATTGACTAAAAGAACCTTGTGTACATAAGACTTTTTTCGGTTAATTTTGTCATTCTAAACATGATAGTTTATTATTTAGTCTTTTTTTTTACAATATTTCCAGAGAAAAAGCTTGTTTCCAAAAAATCTGAAAAGTAATTATTCATAGGTAACTCGAAGTGTTCTCTATCAAATGATATTAAATAAATTGGAAACATTTGAATTTTCAGCATCCTACATATTTCAAATGTATTTTGTATCTTTTTAAAAATTAGTAACTATCTGTAGTGATCAGTTCTTTGAACAATACCAGAATGGATGATGCATATAGTTTTATGTATTCTGAAATCGTAAGATTTTAACATCAGTAATGTACATACTGAGAGAAATCAAGAAGATCTAAAATATTTTGACATATACCATACATAACATATGTAAGGTGAAAGTTTTTCTACAATGAAAAATCAGATTAGTTTTATATGTTTTCTTTTTTTTGATTAAAAGAATTGACAAAAAATTTCTGACTTCTTGACAACATTTTCTCAAATTTGTTCTCTCATAAATAAGAATCAAGATCGAGCTGAAGCTTACCAATCTTTATAAATACCTAAACGATACAAATTTTTACATGAATTGTGTGATTCTCTACTTATTCATTTTTAATACTTCTTTACTTTAGATTTGAAATCTTAAAAAAATTAAAAATAAATAAAGATATTGAGTTATTATATAGATTTTATTAGTTTAGTGATTAGTATTAAAAGACTAGCAAGATCTATCCCGAAGTCTAGATGAATACATTAGTTTAATCTATGTTGTTTCTCATCCTTCTAGAATTATCCAACTACTTTTTTTTTTGAAAACTAGTGAACAGTTGTTCTAAGTTGTGCATAATTAAATACAAAAAAAATTATACTCTGTATAAGGAGTACTTTTCATCATAGTTTTCTTTTGAATAACGATTAAAATTCCATGCTTTTCTTTATCTATAGTAGAAATTTTGAATAAGGTAATAAAAGGAATCTTTAATCAATTTATTGTTAAATATGATATAAGAAAGAACACTACAAATTGCATGAGATATTCTATTTTAATTGATAGTCGATATTGGAAAATTGTGTTGTTCATCTTTAATATATACATTAATCATAGATAGGCCAACCGATTTTGTGATTAGTGCATAAATAACCGTCTGTGAAATAATTCATTTTAAAGTAGAGATCATTTGCTATCTAACACGAAAAGAATGAACATCCTATCACGTTCTATTCGAATACAGCTGGAATCTGACATTTGTCCAAAGATATTTGCAACATCTGTTAAATTCGATTCCAAGTTTTTCAAATTCAGTTCTGATCGATTTCAAGGATAGGAATTGGTACATCGGTAAACATGAGTAATACAGAGTGTCTTATGAAGAATTTAAAAAAAGCAAAAAGAGCAGTAAGATTTGTTTTTACTGTTTCGAACAAATTGTTACACCTAAAGACTGAGCATATGCTACATCTTTTGCTAGTATTATCTAGCATATGTGGTATAAATATGAGGCTTAACTGTAACTAAGTACAAAGGAATCGAAAAAATTCTGTTTCTTTACTTTTAGACCATCCTGTGCATTCAGCTTGTTGAAATAATGATCTAATAGAACTGGTTAATAGAAAAAGATTTTTCAATTGATTTCAATAAAAGAACTTATTTCCATAATTTCGATAATAGAATATGATTAACAATTTATAAATGCATTTATCAGTTGTTTGATTTGCGTTTTTTTATTATTCACTTCAATTTAATTGACTAAAAAACTAAAAAATGAAGATTTGCAATTTTTTTTCTCTCTTTCTGTCTTCTCTCTATTCAATTAAAATCAGATATGTTCATTTATTTCTCTCAATATTAAATAACAACATTTGTTAATAATTCAACAATAGGATAATAATGTGATCTCACAAATTGAATCAAAATCCATGTGTAGATCACATTTTTACCCAATTGAATGAAATATTTCATTTATTAATATGACATTTAAATATACTATTTTTAATATAGACAAAAGATATCCATACCTTTTGTCATTATATTAACCTTACCTTATACTTGTTCGTCTACTATATGAAGAATTTTTTATTTGAATGAGTTTAAATAAGATTCGACTTGATGTCTTATATTTCGAATAAGAACTGATAAATTATGAGTGGACAATGATGGATGAGTATATGTATGAGATTGATATGAATGTTTATTTCGTGAGCAGATAAGACACGTCTTTTTCTTTTTTTCATCATTGCAGAATCTTTATCATGATCCATCATAATCATATGATAGTGTATTCGTGTATGAATGTTTTGTTCTGTTCTATTTGCAAAAAAAAAAAAAATTGTATAAATCAACATTCTTCTTTTTTCTCATGATTATGAATATTTATTAGTTTTTTTTTATTTTTCTTAAAATCTATGATTTAACAATACAAAATAAAGTCGAATTTCTAACACTTTTATATGTTACAACATTGAAGAAAGAATGGAAAGATTTGTGACTTTTTTTTTGTAATGAATCAAAACAAGAGAGTAATTGAAGATCTTACTGAGTGAAAGAAGAGATAAAGGCATATTGAATCACATGAAACTTCTTGAAACATACAGTGCCATGTGGGTTTTTGGTTTTCAACTATACACTTGACTACTGACTGAGAGTCATATAGAGTTTAATAAGTGCTTATGTTATCAAGGAACCGTCCGAAGTAATTCATTTCTTTTTGTACTTATATGTTGATTAAATAGAAAGGAGTTCTAGACTAGAATAACCTTCAAAATGATTCAGGCCTATAAACTTATTTTTACTGAATGACAACAATTTGACTTAATTTTTTACTATAGAATGGGGTATCGATAGAAAAATTGTACAAAAAATTTTTCGTTTTGTCAATAGATTTTATCATTCAAAGAATATTCTAAAAAGTGATTGCTTCCTGCTTGACATATTCAATATTCAAAAGTCGATTCGATTTCAGAAATGGTTAGAAAAAAAAAGATGAAAGTTTTTGAACATTGAATATGTCAAGTAGGAAGCAATCATTTTTTAGAATATTCTTTGAATGATAAGATCTACTTACAAAACGAAATTTTTTATAGAGTTTTTCTACTAATGTCCTGTTCCTTAGTTAAAATCAATAAAAATTAAGAGAAGATTTGGAAATCCAAATTATTTTGAAATTTTTCTAGTCTCGAAATCTTCTCTATATTCTGAAGAAAAATAAACCTAAAAGTAATGAATTACATCGAATGATGATCTCGTTAGATTTTAATAATAATTACTCTTCTTCTATTCATTACAGATGACGCTAGATTTCAAGTAAAATTTTTTTTATATATTAATAATAAAATGAATATATAAAATAAAACATTGAATTTTCTTTTATCTATCAAATTAAGTCTTGTATTTAGCATACAATTTACTCAAAAAAAAGTTATCAGATACTTAGTCGCCAATGAAATCATAGATGTAACATCTAAAAATATCCGATGTCAAAAGAATCTAAATATATTGATTATTAGAGTTCAAGTACATTCTTCAAATAAACGAACTATCCATTTAATTTATTGTAAATGTTTCAGATAAGTAGTTTTAAAATTCTATCTTGTCTTTTAATTGTTTTTCTTGGAATTTATCTTCATCTTTTAAATAAAAACGAAAACATGTCTGCGACAACTGTAACAACAAATGCAGGTATTCAAATGCCTCGTTTAATCTATGGTACAGCATGGAAAAAAGAAGCAACAAAAAATCTTGTCATTCAAGCTATACTTAATGGATTTCGTGGAATTGATACAGCATGTCAACCAAAACATTATCGGTAGATATTCTATATAGATATACGAAACGTTCTAAAAGTTCGAATGACAAACAAAAAAACACATAATTAGCGTCTCAGCAATTCAAACAATTTAAATATTTCTTTTTTATAGTTTGATCACATATTAAAGTTTTATTCAGTATATTTTACATAAGATGTTTGCACTTAAAGAAATCAGAGTTAAGATCCTCCCACAGTGAACAGCCAGGGTTCCGATTGAAAGTGAGTATCTGTCATACACTATCTGTCATTATGTAGGAAAATTTATATGAAGATCAATAAAAGTACTATAGAAG